TGTTTTGGTGTCAGTGCGCCCAAAAACGTCTGTTTTTCTGTGATCAAAAACACTTTTCAGCTTCTACCGAGACTATGTAAACCAAGCTCATTTGATACATTTTGTTCAATCCTGCCTAAAAAATCTCTTGTTTACTAAACACTTGTCAAATTATGGTCTTGGACTGAATTTGCAAAACACTAAATAAATGAGGTGCTCACAATTAATCAACATAATTCTCCTCTACTAGAGACGCTGCAACGTAGCGCTCTTCATAGTTTTGTGTTCAGCCTTGTTCGCTTTTGGCCCAACTGAAGATTACATTCAAGACAAAAGCAACCTCATTGACAGTTTTCACACATCTGGTATACGGACCGCTCCGACCCTCTTCACTCCGAGCCCCGCTCACACGCATTTTCCAGTCCTTGCAGTATATCTAGCGGTAGGGAAAGTGCAGAAAAAAATTGGAAAAATTGGTGCACAAATGGTGTCGCTGAGACACCAAAGAAGGCTAAAGGGGAACTAAAGACTGTGCCGCGAAAAACGGCAGAGAAAAACATTCCTTTGGCGTGTTGCTTGACCGCCGACAGACCAGTCAATGTTGTTCATGTTAACTCGGAGTTCAAAGAACATGTTTTCTATTATGGTAGTTATTATGAGCAGTCATTCACGTTGACTCGGAGTTCAAAGAACACGTTTGTTAGGTAGTCAAAGTGCAATGCAGTTAGCTTACAATTCTTGCACGACTGTTTGGTTTTCACCGTCTAATATCTAGAGAACTCTAGATATGTCTAGAGAATTTCTAATAGAATTAATACATTTTTCATCGTACTTTTTTGTGGCTTTCCCCTATATGTGTTGTGCTATCCGCAGTCTCATTCGTTGTCACACTTCATATGGCATGTGATGCGATTGATGTTGAAGGAAAAGCGCACATACTCCATCAAAACGTTTTCATTGGGTTTTGTAGTACTTTTCTTCTATAAACAGAAGTTTTAATTCTTGAAATTAATTGATTGCTCGTAAATGAACTTCCTTGTGTATAGCAGGTGAAGAAGAAGTTAGTTGTATTTGGATGCGGCATTCTAAATATTTCAAAAAAAAACCTCTGCATTCTTAAGATATGTTGTAAGCCACGCAGGTTTGTTAAGTTCTTTAGGTCAAACGTTCCGGCAAAAATGCCTTCCTCAGAGACCTGAAAGAAAGCTTCGCGCTTGTTTTTCACCCCGTAATGTCAAATCTCTTCTCAACTAGCTCAGGTCGATGCCCTAGGAGCAAAACACGCTGAGACAATACATTGTAAGTAGCGTACTAACAAGGAGAGGATACTTAGTCGAAAGCACCAATCCAGATGAGACATATGTCTTCGTGACCTGCTCGGAGCGCTGATTTCAAATCTGTCCTCCTTATATGCGGAGCGCCTCTGGGTGGGGAGCTATGACCGTTTTAAGACTCAAAAAAGAAGAAAATTATAAAAAAATATCCAATTTCCGTTTCATTCCTTCCACTAGACGGAAAAAGGATAGGAATACGACCTTCCCCGGAAATCATCAGTAGTGAAGGAAGGTCGTAAGCGTGTGATGAAAAGAAGAAAGACAAAAAGGAACTAACCTTAACCAGTCGGATGTCGGATGCTGTTGAGCTCGTTCAAGTGGTTCTGAGTCTGTAAAGAATAATAATAGAATAATTAATAATTGAAGTGAATAAGAATTCAAACTATTTGGATGATTAAAAGGTAACAAGGATACTTTGAAATGAAAAGTAGTTGATGAAAATACTAATTTTCTAATAAAACGGAGTCCTAAAATCCGTACAGTATCTACATTTTTGAAATTATAAAGGACTTTGGCTTTGGAGCATTTGGGGAATCAGAAATAGGACACATTAATGTTAAATTTGTTAGTGTAATCTATACAGAAATGTGTGTGTGTGTGTGCATGTGCGTGTGTGTGTGTGTGTGTGTGTGTGCGTGTGTGTGTGTGTGTGTGTGTGTGTGTGTGTGTGTGTGTGTGTGTGTGTGTGTGTGTGTGTGTGTGTGTGTGTGTGTGTGTGTGTGTGTGTGTGTGTGTGTGTGTGTGTGTGTGTGTGTGTGTGTGTGTGTGTGTGTGTGTGTGTGTGTGTGTGTGTGTGTGTGTGTGTGTGTGTGTGTGTGTGTGTGTGTGTGTGTGTGTGTGTGTGTGTGTGTGTGTGTGTGTGTGTGTGTGTGTGTGTGTGTGTGTGTGTGTGTGTGTGTGTGTGTGTGTGTGTGTGTGTGTGTGTGTGTGTGTGTGTGTGTGTGTGTGTGTGTGTGTGTGTGTGTGTGTGTGTGTGTGTGTGTGTGTGTGTGTGTGTGTGTGTGTGTGTGTGTGTGTGTGTGTGTGTGTGTGTGTGTGCGTGCGTGTGTGAGACAGAGGCAGAGGTTGATTTCTGCGAAATATTATGTTGCAAAGAAAGAGTCCCGGCACTTTCGAAGATTTCGTTTTCTGGGCCCGTAGTAATTTACCCTACCAGGTGGCATCAAAGATGCCGGCAAGTTCGCGAACCTCGCGGCATGTTCGTATTTCGGGCGCAAGCTAAATCTTGCTTTATTTTCTCGTTTTTTGACTAGTTTTCCTCCTTTTTTGTATTTCTCGAGCTTGACGTCTTATTCGGCTTATTTTATTGCTATTATTCTTTTGCTGTTATGTTGGTAATGATATTGATTACTTTGGATCGTTTTCTTGTTTCTAACGCCCTGAAATCAGATTGTTCTCTCTTAGGGCCGCATGCACTAACCTCCCCGCGGGGAGGTTAGTGCATGCGGCCCTTAGAATGAAATTCCTGCGTGAGCCTTCTGCATTTAATTTTAGTTTTTGCAACGGTGCTCCCCAAAATCTAAGCTTCTATGGGAAAAAAGCATTGATTTTGATAGTTTGACAATATGTAACTGACACTATGTGATGCATCGAGCACAAAATCTGAGCCCCCAAATGTTTTGCCACAATTTCCGTTTGATCTTTTGGCTCAGAGGCTATTAACATGCTGAGCATGAATGTTATAATGAATCCCCACAAAATTGCCTCTCTGTATGTTACGGTAGGTCACCGTAAGAGTTGCCATTCACAAAAAATGGATAGAATCAATTTTTGAAATTGTGTTCGTAATCAGCGTGTTTACTCACGCCCTTGTAGCAACTCTTGACTTTCAATCACATTCGAGGGAATTTTGAGTCCGTGCCAGCCCGTGTCAGGTTCGTGCCACCTCCGCTGGTGTCTCACGCGCGTTTGCGGACAGTGCCAGCTCCGTGCCAGCACCGTGCCAGCCCCTTGCCAGCTCGGCTGTTGTGTCGCTCGCGTTTACGGGCAGTGCCAGCTTCGTGCCAGCACCGTGCCAGCTCTATTAAGAGCTGATTTGCTAATTTGACATGTGATCGTAGGCTGCTAGCAATTACAATACTGTATAGTGTAGTGCGGCGAACATTGAGGTTTGTGCTTTCCCACGTAATGTCATGCTTTCGATGAAAAACGATAAAATCGATAAACCGAGATTTTCGCAATCGGCATGTTGAAGTCGTTATAAACTTACATCGTCTCAAAAACAAATCAAGTTTAAACATTCTTCCTGTTTTTACGCTCCCAGCCATCCTTTCTGTGGCGAGACAGAGGAATATTAAGTACCGACGCGTCCACCCCATGAGGATGTTTCACTCAAATCAGCGATTGATAATGAGAAAGTATCGCATGGGGGAAGTACATCTGCGTCGCCTGTGCCGTCTTCTGGTTCCGCTGATGAGGCACGAGCAGATTGAGAACTGGACCGTTGATGTTGAGAACAAGGTCAATCCTAGAATGATAACCGACACCTCCTCACTTCAACGTTTTCAAGCTCAATTAACTGATGTTGTTGTAAAGCTCTAATAAAAGTACTAAAAATTTGTAGCAACGAATCTCAGATCATCATCGCATTGCGTTATCTGGCCACCAACGCTCATCAAGCCGTATTAGCAGATAACCTCGGTGTCTGCCAGAAGACGGTGTCGAACGCCGTGGAGGAGGTGGTCAGGGCGCTCAATCATCCGGCAGTAGTGAAGAAGTTTATACCGTGCCACCTGGACGACGTGCACTACTGCCGAAGGAAGGCTGATGGCTTCGCACGACTGGGAGCATTCCCGAATGTCGTCGGAGCCATTGACGGCACACTCATCCCCATCCTGAGACCTGCTCACTCAGGATGGGAATACTGCTGCCGTAAAGGATTTTGCGCCCTCAACGTGCTTGCCGTTGTTGACGCTCACGGTAGATTTATGTATATCAACAGCAACTATCCTGGTTCTGTTCACGGTTCTACCGTGTACAGTTACAGCCGCTTGCATGACGCATTCGCTGGAGGAGCTGTTCCGGAGGGCTTCTGTTTGATCGGGGACTCAGGATTCATGAATTCCAATGAAATTCTGACCCCCTACAGAAACCCCCAAGACCCGGCGCAGCGCAGGTTCAACACTACCCACAGTGAAATGCGGGTAGTTGTTGAATGTGTGTTCGGGAAGTGAAAGGGCTGCTTCAAAATACTGCAAACAAAGATGCGAGTGAGTCCAGAAAAAGAGGTGCAAATCGTAATGGCGTGCGCAGTTTTGCATAATATTATGATTTCGATGAGATGTCGCCCGATGCGACACCTCGGCAGAAGAATTGCGCGCACAGGTCATCTCCCGTCTGGGGTGGCCAGTATCAGAGAAGAACTAACAAGACTAATCGTTTGATAAAGTGCATAACATGTGGTTTTGTTTGCTATTGTAACTGTTGCTAATGTTGTTATAGTTATATGGTTATAGTACAAATATTATTTTATATATGTAAATGTTTGTAGACTGAACTGTTCACAAACAACATTTTATGTGGCAACTATTGGATGAGATCCAAACAACAGCATAAGTATACAGAAATGTGAAAACAAATACACAGATGTGACGTCATCAGAAGAAAACCAACAAATAACAGAAAAATCAAAATGACATTTCAAATCCTAACGTATGAAATCAACAGAATCCTAGAATACACAATCCATCAAATAATTGAGTCCTCAACATTAGGGTCTCCGCCTAACGTAGAAGTTGCATTCAAATAGTGATCTCCGACCTGTCGAGTGCGGCCATTTCCAACGATTTCAAGTCTGATTGAAATCTTATCCAAAAGTGCATCCATTTTAGTACACACAGCATATTGTTTCTCCAGTATCAAACGTTGGAACTACAACAAAACAGTTGGTGAATTTTCATGAGAATTGCATCTACTTACACGAAGCATTTCTTTATGTTCATCCAATTCCTGTTGAATACGACTTTTTTCCGCGGCGGGGCCAACTCTTCGTCGTCCGTTTCGCTCTAGAACTGCAATAACTATCGTATGGTACGAAATATCGTAGCAATGTAGACGCACAGTAGACAGTTGGTGCAGCAGTTCAGCTCTGCAAGTGTCGTCTTCCACAGGCGACGGTGGACGCGTACTACATGGTTCCTGTGCCTACAAGTTGCTATTAGTTGTCATTTCCCAACTTTAATGAGACATGTGACTCACACAAACTGCACTTTCGGCAGTTCGTAGTCCGCAGAAGCTGGCTTTTTTGCCAAGGGATTTAGCAATCTCAACGTCGTTTTCGGTCATAAAGGAGAAACCCTTGCTGATGGCTCGCTCCAAATCTAGATCAACCTCCCCCCCCCCCCTCCCCCCACCCGTGCCCGACCTATAACTAAAACATATTCATGAGTTTTTGTACCTGTGCTTGAGAAATATGACAACTGACCTCTTTTCCTTATGCAAAAGATCTCGTACGAATGCTTTCTTTTTGCGCCAAATGCGCTTTATCTGTTCTACAGAAAGACCGCTTAGCTGCTTTCATGGCATCTAAAATGCGCCAACCGCCCAGGGTAGCAAGCAATATTTTCCAAACAATCAGCAGAATCTAAATGCAATGGATAAAGAAAAGTAAGGATTTAGCAGGTTAAACTACTGACCTTCTCAATGGGATAATGAGGAGAAGCTCCCGTATAGCAGGCATTCACTTTCGTACCCTCCTGTGCCTTTGTGAAGGGTTGTAGTGCGAAGTGGCACACCTCGGGAAGCTCCTCAGACGTCTCTTGCTTGCTTCTTGTTCTTCGATGAGGGTAGCTTTGGCCGCTCGACGATTGACGACTTGATGTTGTCATAGACTCTCTGGCCGGTGGGGAAAAATGCATTGTTATATCAATGAAAGATCGCAGCGGATGCAATGCCTTTCCTCTTTGCAGTTATTCTGGAGACGTATTTCCTCGCGCTGGAAGTTCGCTTCGCCACGCACTCGTTCAGGTGAATTGACGATACGTCAGATGTTGTATCTCGTTATGGAGGAACTTGATTTTTAGTAGCAGGCTTTTCTGAATGATTAAAGTATATGGGCACCGTGAGTTCACATGATATGACGTATGCAGTGAGATTTTGAGGCAAAAATATACGAGTTCAATCATAGGCACAACACCTTCCCTCAATTTAAGCCCTAACCTCGAATCGGTTCTCTTTGGCTAGATTTATTAATCGCAAGCACAAGTAAAAGAAGATATTTCTTGAAATTAAGACGTCAATCAAGTAAGAGGCGGAAGCTTTTGTGAAATTTGCACTGCTCCATAAGGCTTCGGGCAAGGTTCACGTCGCGATTCATCGCGACAAGACAAGTGTTACGACTTCATCGCATGCCGATCTTCTTGCATATCGGTTGCGATAGCCTTCCAACACGACTAATCGTGACTAACTATCGCAACCGCAATACAAGAAGGTGGGCATCCGAAGAAGTTGTAGCACTTGATTGATTGAATGCCCTACTTTCTTCTGTACATTCAAAATGTGCAGACGGTGAGTTATGGGCAATTGGAATATTGCCGAATCGCATCACGACTGAAATCGCGTGAAGTAAGCGCGGCCTTAAGGTTTTCGGAAAAATCCTTTTAAAAACTACACTTCGTCCTACACTAATGCGCGTGGGAACCAACTAATTCTACAACTTGACCGTTGATAAACATTTTTTAGCTTTGCTAAAAAAACATCTAGCTTATTTCTAGCAAATCATGGTTTCATAAACATTTCAAATTGACAGTGGAACCATTTCTGAACAGACCATGACATAGCTGATCGCAAATAACTTGATAAGGCCGATTCTTCTCCAAAACACTGAAGAGATGTTGTGAAAGTAAGGCCCTGGCAGACTTCGCTCAAAAGCGCTCAAAAGCGCTCAAAACTGCCCACAAGCGCTCAAAAGGGATTTTGAGCGCCCAAAACCGCTGAAAAGCGCTCAAAAGGGCTTATGAGCGCCTAAAAGCGCCCAAAAGCTCCCAAAAGCGCCCTTAAGCTTTCAAAAAGCGCTCAAAAGCGCCGAAATTTCTCTAATCTCTCTCTTCTCTCTTCAGACGAGAAAAGGAAGAGAGTTAGAGAAATTTCTGCGTTTTTGAGCGCCTTTGAGCGAAGTCTGGCCGGGGCCAAAAACATATGTCAAGAGGCAAACCCTCTAGGAGAAGTGATCCGAAAAACCAAATAGCAAAGCATGAAATTCTAGATCAAAAACTAATAATATATACTGATGAAATCGCCCATTCTGCAAAGCGCGATTTTGTAAACAAAGGAGGATGAACGAAGAAATCTTGGACAAAAAATCAGCAACAAGGAAATAATGATTTCCAAAAAACGAACAGATAAACTGTGAGAAAATCTTAACTTAGTGGTGTTTGATGATGAGGTAGCCAGACTAGACGGACAACAGCACGATTCAAACCCGGAATCGGTCGTTAGAGGGCTTAGCCGGTCCATATCAGTGCAAAGCACCGAACATCGTCCTTATTCGGTCTGAATAAGGCATTTCTACATCCGTTAGAAGTTTGCTGACGAAAGCAAGATGTAGAATAGCGTTAGTCGTTGGCTACTTTTTTGCTCTTTCTTCGCGTGCGAACAAAGACACAGAATAAAAGCACAAAGAAGGACAAAGCTAATGTGCAGAAAAAAACACGAATGAAGAAAAAGACAGGAAGAGCATATAGCGTAGATTATAGAGAAAGCTGCTTTCACAGCTTGATCGACCGTTCTACTCGAAAGAGGGGAGCTAAGGCAGGCTTCGGACTACGCTCCATCCCGCCGGAACCCGCCCAAAACCGCCGAATGAGCATAAGAAACAGTGAAAATGCTTAAAAATTGTCTTCTTGAAGCACACGTAAGGTGACGAACGGTTGTACAATGACATATCTGTTACATACAGTTGAACTGCATTTCGGCTGCATGTACATCTATCTAGGAGGGTTCCGTCGGGAACAGGCGAGTTCAGGCGCACTGTGACGAATACAGGCGGGTTCCGAGGTGGTCCGAGACCTGCCTGATATTGATCTCGACGTTTTGGAGCGTTCTCACGGGTATATACGAATGATGCAAAGCAAGGGGAATAAGTGAACACAAAAGAAGACTTAATGTTGAAAAAAAAAGACGGAATAACACAACAACAAGTATTTACCTGCAACAATCAGCAGCTTGCCACAGACTATGGATCCGGATCAGATACCTACATAATCAGTCGTTCACTGGACCATAATCTCCAAGTGAACTACTAATCCGGAAAAGGCCCCAGGGGAAGGTGGGGTGGGGTCTTTGGGTGGCCCGAGCCCCAAAGAGCCACCTGCAATAAACAAATCAGTGATAAAGGCGATAAACACATTGCCAACGCAACGCAGACGGCGAAAGCTAACAAGAGGAAAATGCAAGTCTAACAATGATAACGAGGCACATGCTCGGCGTCGTCCGCAACTGTCCACAACGCAATTTCACAGACGCGGTCGGCAAAGATGCCGGCATGTGGACGTGGTAGGGGCACGTCCACATGCCGGCAGCTCGCACTCCACAAACTACACACTATTTCCTGCACACTCTGACCTGCCGGCAGGCTGCGATCTGGATGGCATCTCAAATTTCGACAAAAATAGATCGTGAACCTGCCGGCACGTTCACGATTCGGCCCAAATTAATGGGAAACGAGAACATTTTTTGGTTTCCTTTCAATCCCCAGACTATTTCGACAACGAAACTGGACCGTAACATAAACAAATAGATGAACAGCCTGGCTTGGGGGTCTCCGGAGGCAGTTTGAGATTTTAGGGACCTCAAGTCCACATCAGGGCATGAGAAGCCGGCAGGTAGGGTAGGTTACTACGGCCCCTGATGCATTTTTTTGGCGCTCCGTCGAAATTTGACACCATTTTATGCTGTTCGGTAGAAGGAAGCCTAATCTTATCGAAGCCGCTTCTAATTTTCATCGATGCCAAAACATGTACGATCTGCACATCAAAAAAGGAAATCTTCCTAACCATGACAATTTCACAATTTTTCTTTTGTGAGTTTCATAGGTTTTCGTCCAAATCGTGTGTGATTCAGTCGAGGAGCCTGTTAGCTTCTGACTCGCAGCAGCACTCGAGTTTTGCGATCTGGGCTCAGAAATTACAAGCTGTCAAACTTGCCTCTGACTGCAACCATTTTCGCAGCTGACATCGCTTCCGCGAGGATCGCCATTGGGTCCAAAAGATGTATAAGGTATTAGCCCAACAATCTTCGCAATAATCAAAGATTTGCTGTCTCCTGTGGAGAACGAGAAAACTTTAAAGTCGCTTACTCGAAAAATGGTGCATTTTTAAGGCAAAAAATGGTCGATTTCTTAACCTCTCTGGAAAAACTTATTTTGCAGATAGGCGCTCAAAGGCGTAAATAGTCTCCAAGACAGCCCTGGCAGCCTTCTATATAACTACAGCATATGAGCTGTCCAGCTCTCATCATGCCTGAGATATTCTGCGCAAATAGGTTACCTTTCGCGTCGATTTTTTCCCTTCTGCGCATACTGGTGGACCACAGCGAGACGCTGGAAAGCAAGTAAGATAAATACATGTTGTATTGTCTTTGCAGAGATGTGATTTCTGCGAAGTAAAAGCGGTTAAAAGTGGACTTCAAGCGAGCTTTTGTATAATTTAGCATTAAAACTGAGCAATTATCAATAGAAACGCACTGCCGCATAAAGCTGCTGCAGCTTTCCTCCCTTCGAGACCAATTCTCCTCTGCTCTTTTTGATTTTTTAAGGCAGAAGTACGATTTTGTTTTCGCAATTCGATCTCGTATATCATACTTGTGGCTATTGCTGTTAGAATCTTGTTGCCACAGATTGGTTATCCTATTGGTGCTCAGTTTCCCTTTTGCAGTTGAACCATATTTCGCCAAAGTTTCTTTGCGGTGTGATCGTCTGACTTTGGGTGCGTCCAGTTTCTCTAGTGTTTATTTTATATGCATGGTTTTGCTTCAATTATATCCTTGGCCGGTGCTCATCTTGAAGAATTACCAAGAGTTTGATGATTTTGCGCTTCTATGCAAAAGCGGCCAGCTACGGCTACGGGCTGCTACGGGCTACCAGCGGCGGCTGCCGCCGCGGTATGAAGGCACTTTTATAGCGATATTAAAAGATATAAAACTCGCTGAAGCTTTCTATCGGATAATCTAGCAAAAAGGTCCTGCTGTGAAGCCCGTGGCTCTGTCCTTCTTTTGAGACCAGCCTCCTCTGCTTTTCTGCTTATGGGTGCCAAAGCATAACTTTCGCGAAGTAGGCACGGTTAAAATGG